CACGTCGCCCACCGACACGTTGCTACCGCCCGGGTTGTACACGCGCGCCCAGTCGCCGTAGGCCCCGCCGTAGGGGGTGCCCGCGAGTTGGTCGTAGAAGAAGAAGACCAGTTCGATGACTGACATCTCGTAGCAGTTGCCGATGGTGAACGGGTTGTTGGAGGACCACAGACGGTAGTTGCCGCTGGCGTTGAGGTAGGTGGGCACCATGTAGCCCTGCGGGAACACGCCGATGCCGCTCGACGGGTCGTAGGCCAGCAGGGTCGTGTCGATGCCGTAGCGCTCGCGGTACCAGGTGAACGCCTCCTGCACGGTGGCGTTGAACTGAGCCTCGGTGAGGCCCAGCTTGACGCGCCACCCCGTGAGCGAGGCCTCGCCGGGCGAGCCGGGCAGGTAGCCCTCGGAGCCCCAGGTCAGCTCCTGCGTGGGCCGGCTGCGCAGGCACTCGCCGATCGGGTCGGCCTGAGCCGTGGCCACGACGAAGGCGACAGCCAGCAGCACCTTGAGGAGAGAGATGTGCTGCATCTTCTTACTGTGGTGTGTTGTGTGTTATTGTTGGCGGTGGTTGTGTTCGTTTTCGACCTCGAAGCCAATAAATAATAAATGGTCCAGCTATTTCGGTGCTGGCTATGCTGCGGTGGAGCGGTGGCGCCGAAGGTGGTGTTGCGAGGTACCCCAGGCTCGATTTGCGAACCCAATCAGATGAGGTGCAGTAGGGATCCCACCACTAATAGGACCCGCATTAAGGTGCCGGTGCCCCGTGAGTGGTCAGAAATCACTCCGAGCCAAAACTGACCACTCAGCCGCGTTCGCGCTTTTTTTCCGAGTCAGGCCGACAAAGCAAAGAAAAACAGGCCTCGTTCCCGGTTGCAAGAAGAATTGCAAAAGCGTTTGGCATTCGGCGGGCACAGGAGAAGAGAAGGCCTGGATCGAGAAGGTTGAGAAGGGAAGAAGGCGCGCGAGCGAAAACACATGGATGCCTACAAATGGGCGGGCAAGCGAGCAAACCCGCGCCTGAAGCAGTGTTCGGCGGAAGCAGAACATGAAGAGGGGCACTGCCGCGGGCGACACGGCCTGTGCAAAGAGGGGGCGAGTAGCGACTGGTTGTGGATTTCGATGTGCCTCGCCATGCTGGTGGCGGTGGTGCTGGTTACGGGGACGGCCACGAAGATGCCCGTGGCACGAGGGCAGCAGATACAGCAGGACGCCTGGTTGAGCGACATAGTGATGGGCGGACCGGCCAGCCTGACCTTCATCTACGGCCCCGAGTACGTCGAGGTCGAGGTGGAGATGGTGCGGGGCGTCCAGCTGGCCTTCGCCGCGGCCAACGCGCGGGTGGGCTATGACCGCATGGGGGTGCTCGCGCGACGCAACCTCACCGCCCGCTTCGAGGACGACGGGGCCGAGCCGGACCGCACCATCAACATCACCACCTCCCTCCTCGCCCTGCCCGAGGACCAGTTCTTCGGTTTCCTCGTCGGACCCGACGCCGAGCGCAGCCAAGGTACCGCCCGCCCCACCTGGCCTCCCCTCACCTGCTTCCCATCCTTCATTTTGCTCCCCGCCTGTTCTGTTTCTGCCCCCTTGTTATTTGTTTTGTTTTTTGTTCTGAGTCACGGGCGCCAAGATCAATCGCTGTTCGCGCCTAAGCTGTGCTTGGTTGGCACGCCAGACCTGTTGCCTTCATTTTCCCTTCATTTTTTTAAACTGTTTGCTCTGCTCTTGTCTGCTGAAGTCACCACCTATCTATGTGCCGAGTCACCGTTGTCCGCAACCATTTCCCTATTTCGGATTCTTGGCCTAAGGACCGAACCACAAAACACACCACTTACAGACTTACTCTTACACATGCGGCGCGGTGCACAGAGTCGTTTGCGCTGGTGAATGCGACGGGGCTGGAGATCCCGTTCGTCGGGCCGTGGTCGGCGGCGTCGTACTTCAGGGACCCGTTCCACCGGTGGGTCTTCAACACGCTGCCGCGCAGCTTCCCGAGCATCATCTACGCCATCATCAAGTTCCTGGCCAACACGAAGCTCATCTCGCGGGTCGCGCTCTTCTACCCGCGCGCGGACCTCGTGTCGGGCAGCGACATCCGCAAGATCACCAGCAACGCGCTGGGCGCGTTCGGGCTGCGGCTCGTGTCCTACTACCAGCTGCCCGACTTCTCCTACGTGCCGGCGCGCATCGATCAGGCCGTGGCCAACATCAGCGCCGGCAATCCGCAGGCCGTCATCCTGGTCAACGACCAGACCAACACCTTCGCCCTCGTGCGGGCGCTCAAAGAGAAGCTGACCGACGTGAGCTACATCATCGACGGCGCTATAACCATCGGCGCCGAGAAGGTGCTCAACGGCACCTACCGCGACGAGGTCTACCAGACCTTCCCGGTGCCGCTGCTGTCGGACAACAGCGAGCGGGTGGTGCGCGAGTTCCACGAGGATCGGCTGCGCTACGACCCGGAGTGGGTCGACCCTGGCGAGGTGGGCGCGCTCGAGGGCTACATCGAGGGCCGCTGGCTAGTGTCGGTGTTCGAGGGCATGCGCGAGCCGCTCACCCGCGCGAGCTTCATCGACGCCGTCTACGCCACGCCGATCCACAACGTGGGTGACATCGTCATGGGGCCGCACTACCAGGACTGCACCGCCACCGGGTGCCAGGCCTGCTGCAACGCCGGGTCGCGCAAGCTCTACCTGGTCCAGTTCCCCAACGGCACGCTTGAGTACGCCGACGACGGCGCGCTCGAGTGGCAGTCGTGCTTCCCGCAGCCGAGCGACGTCAAGTTCCCCTTCAAGTTCGGCCAGAGCATGGCCCTCAGCGGGCAGCACAACGCCACGGGCACGGCGGTGCGCGACGGCATCCTGGCGGCCTTTACCGAGAGCAACCAGGCCGGGTCGCTCAACGAGCGCGACGCGGTCCTGATCAGCTACGACGACCACTCGCAGCCCTTCAACTACACGGCCAGCAACTACGAGCAGCTCACCACCCTCGACGCTGTGCTGGCCCTCGTGGGCCTTGCCGGTTACGACTCGGTCGATATCGCCCTGCATATGCGCGGCAATGGCTCGGCGGACGGCAGCAGTGGCAGCGACATCAGCAACATCCCTATCATCGGGTTCACCTCCGGCTCGCCGCTGCTCCACACCGAGTTCGACCGAAGCGTGGTCAGCATCACGCCCTCGTCCTACGAGGAGATGGCCGGCGCGCTGGACTACTTTGTCAAAGGAGAGCCGAAGTTCACCCGCGTGGCCATCTTCTACGAGAACACGCATAGCGGCCGCCTCACGAACGAGGGCCTTACCAAGGCCCTCCGCCTACGCAATCTGGTGCCCTGGGCCAGCGTGCCCGCCGACTCCTCCCTCGAGCCCGCGCGCGGCGCCCAGTTGCTGTTCATCTACAGCAGCAAGACGGGCGAGCTCGCCGGCCAGGCCCTGTCGCTGTTCGGCTCGAGCATCGAGCTGTGCGTGCTCGCCGCGCAGAACCCGGACCTCGTGGCGGGCGCGCTCGCGGCGCAGGTCGGCGGGTCGGGCAAGCGGCAGCAGACGGCGCTGAGCAAGGTCTACTTCACGCAGGCCCTGCCCAACCCCAACCCGGAACTCTCCGCGCCGCAGGTGGTGCTCCCCAACGCGACGGGCATCGTAGCCGACTACCGCGCGGCGATGACCGCCCTGCACGAGCGCAGCGATAGCGCGGCGACGCCGACCTACGCCTCGTTCAACGGCTACGTGACGGGGCGCTTCCTGCTGGCTCTCATATCGACCATCAACGGGCGCGTCACCAGCGACTCCCTGCTGCGCTCGGTCTACACATCGGGCGTGATCGACCTGAGCGGCCTCCGGCTGGGCCTCTACTACGACAGGTGCAACACCACCCAGATCCCGTGCTGCAACACCGGCACCCGCTCGATCTACGTCGTGCAGCCCACGATCGACACGGCCGCGTTCCTGCCGCCCACCGCCAGCCGGCCCGTGCTGTGGCGCACCATCCACGCCTTCACGTACTCCAACTGCACCATCAGCTTCGACCCGGAGTCGACGTCGAGCTCCAACGGGCTCAGCACGGCCGTGGGCGCCGTCATCGGCGTGGTGGCGGGCGTGGGCGGGTTCCTGCTGCTGGTGCTCCTGGTGGCCCTCGTGCTGGGGGCGATCCTGGTGCGCCTGTCGCGCCGCCGCCGCCGGGACGAGTGGGAGATCGGCTTCGAAGAGCTCGAGCTGGGGAGTCTCCTGGGCTACGGCGGCTACGGCGAGGTGTACAAGGGCCGGTGGCGTGGGACCGAGGTGGCCATCAAGACCATCAACACCTCGCGCGAGGTCACCCGCGAGATGCGCGCCAGCTTCGCCGCCGAGGTAAGCCACAATAACAGCCACCCTGCACAACGTTGTGTGCCCAATCGGACCTAAATTCTCTCTCTCTTTCTCTCTTTCAAGGCGCGCATCATGAGCAGGTTGAGGCACCCGAATGTGGTGCTGTTTATGGCGGCCTCGACCAAGCCGCCCACCATGTGCATCGTCATGGAGTTCATGAGCCTCGGCTCCCTCTTCGACGTACGCGTGCCTCTTCTTGATGCCGACTCTCTGATGAAAAGCCTTTGACCTAACCGCGCGCACACGTGCAACACGACACGACACGACACGCACAAAAATAACTTTCAGTTGCTGCACAACGAGCTGGTGACGGCCATACCGTTGGCGCTGAAGGTCAAGCTGGCCTACCAGGCGGCCAAGGGCATGGCCTTCCTCCACTCGTCGGGCATCGTGCACCGCGACCTCAAGTCGCTCAACCTGCTGCTCGACCACAAGTGGAACGTCAAGGTGTCGGACTTTGGACTCACGCTGTTCAAGGACTCGATCATGAAGAAGGAGAACAACCAGCGCGTCGTGGGCAGCATCCCGTGGATGGCGCCCGAGCTGTTGGACGGCTCGGCCAGCCTCAACCACGTCATGTGCGACGTCTATAGCTACGGCGTGGTACTATGGGAGCTGCTCTTCCGCGCACAGCCCTACGAGGGACTCGCCCCGCCGCAGATCGCCGTCGCCGTCCTCCGCAACGACCTCCGCCCGTTCGTTCCCGTCGGAGAATACTCGCCCGCCGAGGAATCCTACCTCGCCCTCACCAACCGCTGCTGGCATCGCGAGTACGCATAGCACACACAGCGCACACACACACACAACACAGCACACACACAGCACACACTGTATCAGTACTGATGATTGACTTGGGTTGCGTGCGTGTGCAGTCCGGCGATGCGTCCGATGTTCATGGACATCATCAAGGACCTGCAGGCCATCCTCGAGAGCGAGGGTGTACATATCAGCAACAGTAGCAGCAGCGCCGAGAGCAGCGGGCCGGCGGGACACGCCAGCGGGGCCTACGACCGCGACGACGCCCGCCGCAGCGTCGATTCCCTGCGCAGGCGCCGAAGCCCTGTCAACAGCGCCAGCGCCAGCGCGTCGGTGGTGACCTGGGGCAAAGAGGGCGGCATCCCGCGCCAGGCCGCGCACTCTCCGGGACAGATGGCGAGTTCGGCCTCGTACTCTCACACGACGTCGGAGGAGGAGTTCGGCATGCGGCCCCACCTGCCGATCGCTGACGTCAGCATCGCCGTGTGCGACCTCGTGGGCTGCGACGAGGCCTGGGCGACCGACCCGGTCGCCACGCCCAAGGCCATCACCGCCTACGCCGACCTCGTGCGACAGATCGCCGAGGACGCCGGCGGCGGCGGCGGTACAATCTTCTCCGACCCGAGCCTCAACAGCGGCGGCACCTTCTTCCTGGCCTTCGCCCAGACGGGCGCGGCGGCCACGTTCGCGCTCGCCCTGCAGAAGGAGGCGACGGCCCACAAGTGGCCGACCACTATTCGCGTGCTGTCGCGGGTGTCCCTGCACCACTGCGCGAGTGCTGGGATCGTGCGCGAGCGGCTGAGGCTGCGGTACAAGCTCAGCGACTACGAGCCGGCAGTCGAGGCCAACACGCTCTGCCGACCGGGCGGCGTACTCTGCACGCCGGCCTTTCGCAACCGTGCAACGCAGCTGCGCGCGGGCTTCGTGTTTGCGCGGAGGCGCGACGGCGACGGGTTCTACCTCCTCCGGCACGACGCCGACGATCACTCCGACGACGATTCTAACTCCGAGCTGGAGAGCGACAGCAGCCGCACCGACGACGACGAGGGCGGCGGAGTGGACGACGAATGGCGCGCGCTCGGGCCGGAGAGCCAGGCCATCTGCTCGTCCAACCGGTGCCCGTGGATCGTCGACCGCGCGCGTCTCTCGCTGGACAAGCAGATCGGCGAGGGCAACTACGGCAAGGTGCTGGCTGGCATCTACGAGGGCCACAAGGACCAAGGCCACTTCCAGCTGTCGGTGGCCGTGAAGCGGCTCT